CACTACAGTGCTTCTGCTCATTCTTCTTATCAAACATGGGCGATTTTGCAGAAATTTTGATGGGAAATCATTAGGCACCCACCTTATAGTACTAATTTGGCTCCTCTGGACTGCTTTTCATTTTCTAATACTTTCAAAAGGCACCCATTCTTCAATGAAGAATATTAACAAAGTGCACGTTAAGGGTTGAATTCTCAAGACCCTCAGTTCTTTCGGGATTGACTAAATGGTTTTAATATTACCTAGAAGTCTTGAACTTGGCGGAACTTACATTGAGAAATAACTCATATTTTTCTTTTTTTAATTTTTTTTTTGCTTTTAAACTTTTATTTAATGAATATAAATTTCTAAAGTACAGCTTATGGATTATAATGGCTCCCCCTCCATAACGTCCCTCCCACCTGCAACCCTCCCCTTTCCCACTCCCTCTCCCCTTATTTTTTTAAATTTATTTGACAGGTAGAGTTACAGACAGTGAGAGAGAGAGACAGAGAGGTCTTCCTTCCATTGGTTCACTCCCCAAATGGCTACCATGGCTGGCGCTGCGCCAATCCGAAGCCAGGAGCCAGGTGCTTCTTCCTGTTCTCCCATGTGGGTGCAGGGGCCCAAGCACTTGGACCATCTCCTACTGCTTTCCCAGGCCATAGCAGAGAGCTGGACTGCAAGAGGAGCAACCGGAACTAGAACCTGGCGCCCATATGGGATGCTGGTGCTGCAGGCGGAGAATTAACCAAATGAGCCACAGCGCCGTCCCCTATATTTTTGTTTTCTAAGATAAAATTAAGCAAGCAATATCCCTAAGAGACTAATTAGTCTTCCTCCCACCCCCACCCCGAAGCAGAGAGATAGCTCCAATCTGCTGATTCACTCCCTAAATACAACACCTGGTAAAGGGCCAGGCCAAAGCTGGGAGTTGGGGACAGAAGCCTCCCACATGGGTGGCACAAACCACTTACCTGAGCTCCCTCTGCTGCCTCCTGGTGGCTTCATTAGCAGGAAGCTGGAGCCAGAATTCAAAAGCCAGTAATTGAACCCAGTAGCTTAAGTGCTAGGCTAAATTTCACTATTTTTCATCTTTTAATTCCACTTTTCTGTAAATTTTTTGATGTCCCTCATATTAACTGCAAAGTCCAGATTGCATTCAAAAATTTAAAAGTCATAAAGAAAAGGAATGAAAAGGCAGTCATAATAAGGGACTTGAGGACTTAGAAAAGCCTTTCATTTTGTTGATATGATAATTATATTGATGTTTGAGTGTTAAATGTAACTTCTATCCCTGAGATTCCCATATGATCATTAAAACTACATTGCTTTTCCTATTTTTTCACATACACTCTGCCTTCATGGGATCAATGTCCTGTTGAGATTTCAAATTCAAAAGTTTCATACGAAATCATAAATTCCACGAATTAGATTTTTGTATGTTGGTTTTGTACACTTAGTGATGAGAACAGTGTCTGATATAGAGTAGGTGCTTATTGAATACTGAATGAATGAATAAATAAATTACTACAAATAATACTAAAATGAACAGTTGGCTCCACGGAGAAAGAACTGCAGATACCTTTCTTCCATAACAAGGGTACAGTTATGTATGTAAAGCTAGTTATTAATATTACTTTGCATCCATGTTTACCATTTTTAAATGTTTATTGTAACATTTTCTCTCTTTTTTTTTCTAAAAATTTATTTAGTTATTTGAAAGGCAGAGTTACAGAGAGGCAGAGAGACAGAGAGGTCTTCTATCTGCTGGTTCATTCCCCAGATGGCCACAACGGCCAGAGCTGTGCCAATCCGAAGCCAGGAGCCAGGAGCTGCTTCAGGGTCTCCCATGCGGGTGCAGGGGCCCAAGGACTTGGGCCATCTTCTACTGCTTTCCCAGGCCATAGCAGAGAGCTGGATGGAAAGTGGAGTAGCCGGGACTCGAACTGGTATCCATATGGGATGCATGCCCTGCAGTCGGGGCTTTAACCTGCTGTACCGCAGTGCTGGTCCCTACCATTTCTTAATAAAAGTGCACTAAAAATAAATAGCAGCTGGCGCCGTGGCTCACTAGGCTAATCCTCCACCTTGCGGTGCTGGCACACCGGGTTCTAGTCCCGGTCGGGGCGCCAGATTCTGTCCCGGTTGCCCCTCTTCCAGGCCAGCTCTCTGCTATGGCCAGGGAGTGCAGTGGAGGATGGCCCAAGTGCTTGGGCCCTGCACCCCATGGGAGACCAGGATAAGTACCTGGCTCCTGCCATCGGATCAGTGCGGTGCGCCGGCTGCAGCGTGCTGACCACAGCGGCCATTGGAGGGTGAACCAATGGCAAAGGAAGACCTTTCTCTCTGTCTCTCTCTCTCTCACTGTCCACTCTGCCTGTCAAAAAAAAAAAAAAAAATTAGCAAAAAAGTTGATCAACACTAGCTAAATGTTGATATAAATTGTGATTCTAAAACTAAAGTAACTGAGGGCACATTTAAACAATTTGTGAATTAAAAATATTTCTAGGGTAGAATTTCGATTAATACATACTTTTAAAATGTTAAAAACCATAGAATATATATTTAATTTAATCCTCCACTGGTTTATTGACTAACCAGAGATGCCAGTTGGCAAACTCCAAGGAAAACAATGAGATCATACTTATATATTGATGAAAGGTCTCTGGTAAAGAAATGAGAGGTTCCTTAAGCATTTAGAAATTCTCTAATACAGCATACAAGATGTTATTAGCCTTTAGCTCACTAGAGGGAGGTGTTGGTTCAGACCAACACAGTTCAGATTATTTCTGCAGCAATTAAGTGCTAACCAGAACCCAACTACTGTTAGCACTTACCTTATTTTAATAATAACACTATTCTAGCAAAACACTTGTCCCAAATACAGGTTTGACATTAATTCAAAAGTATTAAGACAAAAGCCAGATGCTCTAAACAATAAGCCATGTCACTATTCCTGTCTTGCTGTTATTACGAACATGACACTCAGAAATAAGATTTAGAAGTGCAAAATTTTAAAAATGACATGTTGTGATTGATGCATGTTAAAGTGCAGTAACATTCTTGCTTTTCCTCCTTTAAACACTATATAACTCTATGATGTACTTTTTTTTTTAACTTTTATTTAATGAATATAAATTTCCAAAGTACGATTTATGGATTACAATGGCTTCCCCCCCATACCGTCCCTCCCACCCGCATCCCTCCCCTTTCCCACTCCCTCTCCCCTTCCATTCACATCAAGATTCATTTTCGATTATCTTAATATACAGAAGATCAGCTTAGTATACATTAAGTAAGGATTTCAACAGTTTGCTCCCACACAGAAACATAATAGATGATTTTTTTTAAATGATGATGAAATCAGATCAGACCTATTGTCATGTTTAATCCCAGTGAGAGTCAAGTTGGGAGTTGATAATTTCTTTCTTTTTTTTTTTTTTTTTTACAGAGGATCAGTTTAGTATACATTAAGTAAAGATTTTAACAGTTTGCACCCCATAGAAACACAAAGTGAAATATATTGTTTGAGTACTCGTTATAGCATTAAATCTCAATGCACAGCACATTATGATGTACTTTTAAAGCCTTGTACGTACTCAAAATAATAGGACAAAAAGAAGATGCAAACGGACACAGCCCTTTCCTATCTCCTACTGTCACACTCAAACAGAAATCGGCTAAACCAGGGAAGGAAAACTTTGTGCCTGTTTTAAGTCAGCTTAAGTTAGTCTAAACAATGAGTTTCATAGCCCTGTAAGATTAGGGTGAAAAATGAAATGTATAAATCTTTAAGATCTTTCCTGGACAATTAGATGCAGGAAAACCCGGTCTCGCACTAATTTTTATCTGTGGAAATAATATCTCTGGGAAGAAAAAAAAACAAAGGTTTTTCACGGAGCAAGAGACTGGGCACATCTTTAACTCCGTGGAGCTTCTGTTACCTCACCTAAAGGGGGAGTAATAATGCAAACAATGCCTTAGAGGATATCTGTGATGATGAGACAATGCTTGTTAAAATGCATACCGTGTTGGGAAAATATACCAGTACTGGATTACTAAAAGGAGTTCCTAGGCTGCTATACCTGTTTTCACTGGATGTGTGCTATTTCAAAGGCAAAGCTGGCATACGGCGAAGTCCTTCGTGTCATCTACACGCGGTGTCTAGTTCCAGCAGTGCAGAATGAGCGCCGGACCAGGAAGGACGGTTAGAGGCTTTGTAAGGCAACGCCTTTCCTCCGCCCTCCTATCCATCGCTGACAGCCTGTCGTTGCACCACCTCAGACGTGCCAGTGGCTACCACTCGCTTTTAGCGGGAGGACAGTTCACATTTTTTCCTCTTTGAGCTCAAGCATCCGTGTCCATTTCTTTCTGTCTCCAGGCACTATTAATTGGGTAGCGTCAGTGGCGCCCCCACCGCCTCGGCGGAGGGAGGGAGGGGAGGCAGGAGAGTTTCACCTTTCACCACCATCCTAGAGTCTCGGAGTAGGAAGGGAAGAAAGTTCACACTCAGCTATGGAAAGGATCGCGGCTTGTGTAAAGTGTCCCACACTCGCGCGAGTAACCCAAGGGCTTCCGAAGGCTCGGTCCCTGTACTGGACTGTGTGGCTATGGAAGGGAACAGGCAGGTCCGCCGTGGCGCCTTGCCCAGTGAGACTCTCCGCGGTTCGCCTCCCACTCGGGAGACCTGGAGGGGGTGCAGAGCCCCGCAAGGCCGCAGGTGGGCGCCTTGTCCGGCGGGCAGCGGGCGCCTTTGGAGACGGGGGTGCCTGCAGAGTTTTCCAGGCCAGGCGGCCAGTGAGGCCAGCAGGCGAGGCCGAGAGAGGCGCTCGGCGGCGTCTCCACCCTCCTCCCACCTTCGGTTGCCCCCACCCCCGGGCGCCCCGCCCCGCCCCCTCGGCCTTATAGAGGGACCCGGCGCCTCCGCGCGCCTCCAAGCCACTGGCTTGCCCCCGGCGGAGCGCGAGGCTGCCGGCGTGGGCGAGCCACGGCCGTGGCCCGAGCAGCAGAGTGAGGCGGCGGCTGCGCCCCGCACGATGGGGGGCAGCCCGACCCCAGCCTCGGTGGCCGCGGACCTTCGCCGCCGACCACGCCGCGTCTGCCAGCTCCCGCCGCTGCTGCTGCTGTTGCTATTGCTGCCCGGGCGCAGTGCCCTCCTCACCTCGAAGGCAACATGAAGGAGACGCGGGGCGACGGAGGGAGCGCCCCCTTCTGCACCCGCCTCAACCACTCGTATCCAGGCATGTGGGCGCCCGAGGCACGGGGCAACCTCACACGCCCCCCAGGGCCCGGCGAGGACTGTGGCTCGGTGTCCGTGGCCTTCCCGATCACCATGCTGATCACCGGCTTCGTGGGCAACGCGCTGGCCATGCTGCTCGTGTCGCGTAGCTACCGGCGTCGGGAGAGCAAGCGCAAGAAGTCGTTCCTGTTGTGCATCGGCTGGCTGGCGCTCACTGACCTGGTCGGGCAGCTGCTCACAAGCCCCGTGGTCATCTTGGTGTACCTATCCAAGCAGCGCTGGGAGCAGCTCGACCCGTCGGGGCGCCTGTGCACCTTCTTTGGTCTGACCATGACTGTTTTCGGGCTGTCCTCGCTCTTCATCGCCAGCGCCATGGCTGTCGAGAGGGCGCTGGCCATCCGTGCGCCACACTGGTACGCGAGCCACATGAAGACGCGTGCCACTCGCGCCGTCCTGCTGGGCGTGTGGCTGGCAGTGCTCGCCTTCGCCCTGCTACCTGTGCTGGGTGTGGGCCAGTACACCATCCAGTGGCCCGGGACGTGGTGCTTCATCAGCACCGGACGAGGGGACAACGGGACGAGCTCTTCACACAACTGGGGCAACCTTTTCTTCGCCTCCACCTTTGCCTTCCTGGGCCTCTTGGCGCTGGCCATCACCTTCGCCTGCAACCTGGCCACCATTAAGGCTCTGGTGTCCCGCTGCCGGGCAAAGGCGGCAGCATCACAGTCCAGTGCCCAGTGGGGCCGGATCACGACCGAGACGGCCATCCAGCTCATGGGGATCATGTGCGTGCTGTCGGTCTGCTGGTCGCCCCTACTGGTAGGTAGCTCCAGGGCATGGGGTGGATGTGGAAATGGAGACTTCTCCAAGTGCCAGCACCCGCAAGAGTGTGCTTGCAACAGCAGAACACTGAGGAGGCTTCTGAGCTGTGTTGGCACTGCCTGTACGCACAAGGAGACTGCAGAGCTGCTCCTATCCAATCCGGGAGGGGAGAGGACGCCCAGGCCTTAGTCCAGGGCATGTGCTGATATAGCGACTTGTCTGGGTGTTGTAGGGGATAGAGGGGTGATTCTCTGAAGTTCAGGCACTTTTCATTCTGCGGAAGTACCCTACCTGTGACAGCAGACAGGCGCAGAGGTCTTGCAGCGTCTCACCCACTGTGAGCCCTTGCTGCGCAGCTGCTAGGACTCTAGGTTCACACTTGACCAGAGGCAGGAGAGTGAAAATGCACCTTACAGCATCAACCAGCCTCGGCTCTCCTGAGTGTGCTTGACCCTCTAGGATACACTTGAACTAAAAATCAGTCAATGGGACCCGCCAACCCAGTGACTCTCTAGGATCAGATTTCCTGAGACAGGAGGTAGGGCATCCTCCGCTGCACAGATTCTCACATCAGCACCAGGAGCAAGTGATGTTTCCACATGCTCCTAGTCTAACACCTGCTCTTATGTGTTATTTGTGAGGTTTTATTTTAAGATACTTTTAGGTAGAAATGTGTGTTGGTAACTGCTGTTTGCTGATTCCTGTAGAATGCATGCTTAGGCCTGGGGCAGCCTAGCCCAATAGATCTTGCAGAAGGAGCAACCTAGTCACTGTCAGCAGTGTTAGAGCTAAATATATATTGAACCTAGAAATTTATTACTCTTATGAAAAACTTCTGAAGCATGTGCACATAGTTTCACAACCTATCACATAGAAGTTTTTTTTTTAATTGTGGTAAAATATACACAATATACAGTTTACTATTTTAACCATTTTAAGTGGACAGTTTGGTGTTACTAAATACATTGGCATTGTAATGTGTCCTACATAGTTTTAAATCCTTTGCCCTTTAAAATAGAAATGTAGTTCCTTTCTCCTTTCACCCCTCCACTGCACTTGGCAAAGAAGATAGTGGAGAATACTTGTGTTTGGCTGGTGTGTTACATTCGGAGCTCCAACCTTGGCTCCAGATCAGAGATGTGTGGTGACACAGAGTTATATTGGAACCCAGCTGCCTGCAAGTCACTGTGTGGTCACAGGTCTGTGTTCCAGGAGCTGGAACTCAGGCTGATGTCATCACCAGGGCTTATCAAAAGCAGCACCAATTTTAGGCATATTTACTTCTGTGGTTGAGAAATGAGGTGTAGCTAATATGGCATAATTTATGTATTCAAGTGTATGAATAAAATGTTACTCAGACAGTCAGTCAGACTTGTGCTTTTTCTTTGCTTGTTTTGTTTAAGATTTAGAGAAACTTTGTAAGCTGTGTTTTGTTTGAATTAGAAAACTTTGGTTCTAATATCATGAATATGGTGGCCTAGGGAAGAATATAGAACAATCTTAAAAATGGTAACTGAAGATGGCCAAACTCTTTCTCTTTACAAAGACCTTATTTAGAACTAGTCTTACTTAGGTTCAATCAGTATCTTCATTCAGTTGGTATTTATTGATTTATAGCATCTAAACAAACTGTTAATTCAGTTATCAGAAAACAAGTTGAAAATCACACAAATTCAATATGTGGTGATGTTAAAGAGGAGAACTTTATGCTTCAAAATGGGCACTTCTAAAGGGAAACGGTTCCCTATTCTGTTTTTTGAACCATTAAAATCAAGTCTTCCTATATCTTCAGAATAATCTACAGTACAAAGTTGGAACTATTTCAAAGGAAAGAAACTGGCAAAACTGCTTTGTTAGTAGATTAGGGAATTATAAGAATGGAAATACTAGAACGTAGTAAACCTTTTCAGTGTATTAGTGTTAAAGTGAGAGATCATTTTTTTCTGGGGGGTAAAATACCTATTAGCTTTTGTTGGTTTGGGCATAGGATACTAATCTAGTTGTCCAAAATCCTTACTTAAAATGACATTGAGTATGTGTTATCTTGGTATGTGGTATCTTGGTAGTTATGATAGTAGCTATCATAACTATTAGTAATAGTCGATCGTTACAGTTGGAAAACTTAATGGAGCAGAGATACCTAATCAGAAAACATCCCAACTGCTATAAGATCCCACTTGTGAATGAAGTTTTTGAACAGAAGGTCTATGTATGGTGCAAAGATTATTTTTCCTTTTCTTTTTCCTAGGTACTTTTCAATATACATGTGAGATATAAAAATAAGTGAGAAACAATGAGGTATGAGATGTGAAATATGACTATGAGCTGTGAAATTAAGTGGGAAACTATGTACTTCTTAGTCATTGTTTATGTAAGGCATCAGATTGTTGTTCTGTTGGAACTGTCCAGTTGACTCAGCAATGCTATCTGTCTGAATTATTACTATTGTCTTAATTTTTATGAGTTATATTCACCAATTAGTCCTGTTATTTGATATAATAGCCAAGTTTCCAGAAAGAAGAATAACACTGGGGTGTTTTTCAAGGGAAGCAATGAGTACATTGTGTACTTTTATATGTGGCACTCCATCAGGTAGAATGTGGCTAATGCTGCAGCTTGGAAAGTAGTAAATATAAGGCTGACTATCAACAGTATGAGTTACGAGGAGTAATTGTTCATCTTCAGCCTTGGAACTGGATTAAAGGAGCCATAGAAGCTTTTGCCTTGAACCTTGAACCAGTAAATCGTCCATTCAGTATCTACAAATAGGGATACTTAGTTCAAGAAGATATTTCACAATGTAGTTGTGATTTATTTTTAAACTTAAGGACCCACTGATATATTTTGACAGGTGAAATTTGCCTTTTAGTGTACCACATGTGGAAGATTTTCATAACAGATTGTTTGACAGAATGAATGCTGTTTTGTGTTACATAAAGTTTATTTAAATGCTGATCTTCTCTTCCTAGGAATTTCTGCTGTGTGCAGGATGCAACTTCAGGGAATGTGATTAAGCTGTGATTTTCCATTATGGGAAAAGTTTTTGTAGTTTGTATTTTAAGAGTTCAGATATTCAGAATTCTTTACATTTTTTGTTTGCTACATTTCAGACACCATGGGAGGATTATTAAACAGACTTGTAAAAAAGTGATCAAAATGATAATCGGTTCAGGGCCAGCGTTGTGGCATAGCAGGTAAAGCAGCTGCCTGCGATGCCAGTATTTCCTATGGGCACTGGTTTGAGTCCCCCTCTTCTCCACTTTCAACCTGGTTCCCTTCTAATGGCCTGGGAACAGCAGTAAAAGATCATGCACGTGGGAGACCCAGATGAGGCTCCTGGCTTCTGACTTCAGCCTGGCCCAGCCCTGCTGTTGTGGCCATCTGGGGAGTGAACCAGCAGATGGAAGAGCTCTCTCTCTCCCTCCCTCTCTCCCTGTAACTCTTTAAAATAAATAAATAAACCTTTTAAAAAATTACAGTCTGTTCAGAGAAACAGAGTTTCCACTTGTATGAGTGAAGCCATGAAAGAAGAATGGTATGAGATAGGTTGTCATTAGTGTCTTTGTCTTGCAGTTCAAATACCTTCTGATTTTACCAGAGCAGCCTTCCAGGAAGGCTTGGCCTCATGGCTAATAGCATGCATTCCCAGGAACCCAACCCAGTGAGAACAGTGTGCATGTCAGAATGATAGGAATCATGGTTTGAAAATGTCCATGGAACCAGATGTAGATAGGTATTCCTTGAATGAATGATGGGATGAAGCCTTTACTGTTGTTTTGGGGGTTTTGTATAGGGAAGACAGTTTATTGGCAGAGTAGTGCCATGTAGATAGATTTGGCTTAGAAAATGAGGATGTGACATCTGTTACGCCTTGCTTTTTTATAGGTCAGCTAAGGCCTTAGGATAGAGACAATGGGAAGAGATGAATCAAGGAAGGAATGGCAACAGAGAACTAGCATTATTTAGCCATGGTTGGTTTAGGGAGTGATTGATGCAACAGACATTTATTGAGCATCTGTTATATCATGTGCACCATGGTAAATGGTTGTATATACCTCATGTAACTGCATCCTGAAGGATTGCCAATATTAGCTATATCATTAGGCAATGAACCAATGTAGAAAGGTCATTAGAACAGCATTGCTGATTCATAATAGCTGGCCCTCAGTTTATTTACAGTTTTTAGATAGAGGCCAGGAATTCTAGTCTTAACACCTGCCATAGGCACTGAGCAAGTTATTTAAATCCTCTTATTTTTAAAGCACAGATGTAAGACCAGTGTATGTCTAAGGTTCTTTTTCATGTCAAATATTCCCAGGTTATTTTATTTGCAAGAATCATGATCCAGTGAACTCAAATGGGCGATCTTGAGAGTTTTGTTGATTTTAGTTAAGAATAGAGTCCCTGAGTGATTGAGAACTGAGGACATGGTACAAATGGGGGTGATGGTAGATTATCTAAATGATATGTCACGAAGCCAGTGTAATTTGAAGAAAGAGCTAAAGCATAGAGATTGTTTTTTAAAATTTGAATTTTTCAGAGAGTGTCAAAATTAAACACTTCTTAAGCCATCATCTTTGAAGAAACTCAGGTGGTGTAGTGTTGCAGTATAATTATGACTTATTGGCCTTTCTCTTTTGAAAAAGCTGTAAAGGTCAGTAACTCAATTATCAAGGTTTCGCTGGGTTTACTTTTCTGAGAATGACACTCAGAAATTTGCACTGCGAGTATTTGTAACAGACTGTGATTCATCTGGGGGTGATACATGCGGAAAACTGGATGCTAGACTTCAGCTTGCATTCCTGGCCTTGAAGTTGCAGGGCGACAGTGCAGGAATTCTTCGCTAAAACTCCTGACATTTGTGCAGCATTTTTATGATCCACCAGTGTTCCTCATTTACCTCATTCATGCCTCAGAACTCTGAGATCTACAACTGTAATAGGTCAAATATTGTTTCCCTCATTTTTGCTCAATTCCTATCATAGACATTAAGTAGG